TAAACCCTAGTGGTATTGGTATTAGGTTTTATCGAGAAGGAAAATTGTTTTGAGAGTATCGAAGCGCTGTCCGAGTGTTGAATCACCACCTTTCAGGTGAGTGCATAGTCCCTTTCATCTTACACATAGATATGAAGTATTTTATATAAAGTACGTGCTATGTGTGCATATTATCTGAATACTTGCTGTCTATGCTGGATGAACGTTTTATACATGTTTTAAAGGATTTAAATTGTATACGTATTTTATATATACAAATATGTTGGGTATGATGATGGGTAGATGAATGATGAGAGATAGAAGATGACATGAGTATACATTGGCAGCTATAGACTTAGTGCCTACAGGACAAACACCGGTAGCTATGGACTTAGTACCTGTCAGACGTTGGTAGCTATGGATTTAGTACCTGTTAGGAGTTGGTAGCTATGGACTTAGTACCTATTAGTTAGACACCGGTAGCTATGGATTTAGTACCTGTAGGAATTGGTACATGGACTTAGTACCTGTTGAGCACTGGTAGCTATGGATTTAGTACCGATGAGTAGATATAGCAGCTATGGAATTAGTGCTTTACGAACGAACATTGGCAGCTATGGATTTAGTGTCAGTCCTATGACCTTGGAAGTAAGGGACTTCGGAATAAACGAATGCAGGATAGACGACTCTTAGGTTAAATCCTTAAGAGTAAAGAAGATAACGGGGATGGGTAATTGGGTTAATTCTTTGATTGAACATAATAATTATATTATTGTGGGTTGAAAACCCAATGTACTCACCAGGTTTCCCAACCTGATCCACTCAGTTTATGTATATCACAGGTGACGAAATGAAGTGACATTACAATGAGAGATTTAAAGAGATGTAGATCACTAGTGTAAATAATTGTAAGTTCTGTTTATGCTTATGTTTTCGTATTAACGATGACATCCCAAACGTTTTAAGATGAATAAAAATACGTTTCTTCGAAAATGTTTTAATAACGTATTTACCATGTTTTTTTCTGGGAACAAATTCCGCAACCTTTTTATAAAATGAAGTACTCTGGTTTTCATAAAGCATAAACAAAATCGGTCTTTTCTGGCCGTGATTTTGGGGATGTCACATCGTCCACCTTTCCAAGACCCACAATTTCAAGTTTGGGTCGATAAATATCCATTTTATTTCGAAACAAGTGATTCTATGACCCGATTTCAAGGCTTTCACAACCGAGAATTTTTCCCCCAAAAATTTCCTGATGTCGCGACACTTCAATCCCTTCACGTTTACGATGGGGTTCGCACCCTTTTTGCCAAGATTGGGTGGGAAAAACTTTTGAATCTTCATGCTCCTAGTTCAGCTCTCCTCACTCGAGAGTTTTTAGCCACTATGTCTGGTTTTACCAAATCTGGGTATTTTATCTTTCGTGTCATGAACACAACTCATGAGTTGCACATTGATGATCTATGTAATATGGTTCATGCCCCTATTGATGGGACTTATGGTCCTAATATGTCACCCCACAAATTTAACCAACCTTTTGAACCAACAAGTTTTTGGAGAGCTATTACCAGGTTGAATGATTATAACCCTTCTCTTTCTAAACAATCACAAATCATTCACCTGGTTTTGAAAATGACACTTCGACTTATTTGTATTATTCTTTTCCCACAAGAGGACAAGAGTAAGGCTGGCAAAAAAGAGCTTGAACTACTTTGGTGCATGGTTAGTCGAAACCGGAAACCCCATCTTGGGGCGTTGCTTATGTGGAAACTATTGAAAACGACTCGTAGCACTATTGGTCAAATTCATTGTTGTGGATTGGTGTCGTTGCTAGCGAGTGTCGTTCACCAACAAGTTCCTGTGGGTTTCCCATTTTTTCGAGGTGAAACGCGCTTGACTTTGGGTAATTTGAAATCGACGAACGTGTTTCGATCAAGTGCGCAGGGTTATGTTTGGATGCGGGAGAGGTCTAGATATCTTATAGTATCTGAACCTGTCATGCTTACTCTTAGTGACCCACCTGAGACCACTGTTTGGGTTCTTCCTTCGAATATTGCACAAGTAGTTGTTGAGTACGAAATTCAGCCGTGGTGCCGACGTCGTGCCCAGATGATCAAATCACCAACCTCACCCAACCCTGACGTCCCATCTTCTTCTCATCAACCTTTTCCAGACCGCGATCAAGATTTTCATCAACCACAACAGGCTGAACTTCATGAGCACTCTGAACAACCTGATCCCAACCCACAACAAGCTGAACTTCATGAGCATTGTGAACAGACTAATCTCAACCCACAACAGGTTGAACTTCATGAGCATTGTGAACAACTGGATCCCAACCCACAACAAGCTGAACTTCATGAGCATTGTGAACAGACTGATCCTAACCCACAACCTAACCCACAACAGACTGAACTTCACGAGTATTGTAAACGAGTGGATCCCAGCCCACAACAAGCTGAACTTCATGAGCATTGTGAACAAACTGACCCCAATCCACACTAGACTGAACTTCATGAGCATTGTGAACAAATTGATCCCAACCCACAACAGGCTGAACTTTATGAGCATTGTGAACAACCTGATCCCATGCAGGCTGATTTTCAGAACCATTCACAACCCAATTTTAATCCGCAGTTTGACCCCTACGCTCCCATTAATCACCAACAATATCAAGAGCTTTGCGAGGATATCGTTGCCCTACGTAGTGATACGGAGCACTTTGATAATAATTATTGGGACCTTCGGAATGATTTTGATGATTTTCGCCGCGATACTTCTCGTGAATTTAGGGCTATTTGTACTTTGCTCGTTGATATTTACAATAACACGTGGTCTGGTACTTCGCAACCACAGCCATCATCCCCTCCTTGTGTTGCTCGTTACCGACGTTTTCCACACCCTCTGCCTTAGTGAGTCGTTAATTATGCTCCTCCCTAAGCATTTGGGGAAGCTATATTTTAAGACTGGGGAAGAGATTTATCAACTTTTGTAAAATAAAATATTATTTTTATTTTCATTTTCAGCTGCAGTTTTCATAAGAAGAAAAAAAGAATCAAAAACTACAAAAAAATCCATAAAAAGAATTTTATTTTTCTTGATAATTTTTTATTTTATTTTCAAAAAAAGAAATATTTTTCTATTTTGCATTAGTTTCGACATCATCATAAAAATTCAAAAACAAATACCAAAATATTTTTATTTTCCTTCATTTCTAATTTTTTATTGTTGCATTGAAAATAAAGTTTTGAATGCGTGAGATGATGAAATTCTTTACTTCCAAACGTGCTCTGAAAATGTGGAAAATAATATTTCTTCATAACTAGAGTTGTTAGACATGTAATCTGTTAAACCAATTATTAAAAGAAAATAAATAAATAAATAAATAAACTCTAATATCAAAACACCGTATGAACCAAAATAAAACAATTTTCGAACTAATTTCTCAATACTTCTAAGTAAGCCCCCAACTTGATAAGTTTCAATCAGCATAAACTTGGTCGTATTCAGTGGCGGAGCCAGGAAATTTTATATGGACAAGCATAATCAAAATTTAAAATAACATTTGAACGATCGTAAAAACATGAAGCCTCTTGAAATTGTATTTTTTAACAAAAGTTTTCGATTGGATGGTGGAATACTGATCTTGCTATTGTCTATAAACTCTGAGCACCAATCACTTCGATTCATGAGACGAAGAAAAAGCACGCAGCAAGATTTAATGTTTTGAGTTGGGGTTGCAAGGTAGTTAAGCTTACTTACATATAGAAAATTAATATGTAAAGTTTAATATATATAAAATTTATTTTAGGGGTAATGCCTCATCTAGCTCCGCCACTGGTCGTATTGTTAACACGCCTTACCCTTCGGGGAAAACCCGAGACTCTTATAATGTATTCATTCAACCAACAAAAAAATTGAAAAAACAACCAAAGTGTAAACTGAAGCTCAAAACGGGTACCAACCATCAAACTTGCTACCCGACTCAACTTCCAAAAACTTAAACAAAGAAATCCTCAAGAAGTACTCAAACAAAAAACGATTGAAAAAACTAAAAGTCAAAGGTAAAAGAAGAAGTCTAAGTTTCATATGTGTGTTGCGGTATATGATACTTTTAAAACAATGGAAGAGCATAGGAGTTGGGCTTTTCGGGTGGGCTGGCAGCTTTAGCTATAGCTGATATGCCTTGTTGGAGTGGGTCAAGTTTGAGACTTACGGTGAAGTTGAAATGAAATAAAATTTTAAAATATGATATTTTGTGAATAAAATATATTAAGATATAAGGAATATTTAATTTTATGGTTGGTTTATCGATTTTCATCTTTAAGCATCTTTCTTACTTTGGGGTTTTAGGATTGCACCGGAGCTTTTCTCACCTGATCATGATAAGAAAATTGAAACGAGTGATTTTGATTTATAGTTGCTTTATCTTTTGTATTGCATTTGTATGTTATTTTTCCATGGTTATCGTTTAAGTTAGCATAGGATTTTCAAATAGATAGATATTTTTTTTCTTGGTTTATCCACATTTGTTCCACCTGATTCTAAAGCCAATTCTTTCCTTACTTAATTTCTAGTAAGATTTAAGTTTTGAGAGATTTGTTAGATGCGTTTCCGTGCATTTTTTATGCATCTTTTAGCATGTTTTTAATACTTTTAGCTTAGTCACTAGATTTTCTCTTGTATTTCAATGAATTGTGTATTACTTGTTTTATTTGCAGAATGTCCTGTACTACTCATTTTTTTGTGTTTTCATGGTAAATGGATTAGAACAAGAACATGAAGATTTACATATGCACTTAAGGAAGCACTTTCATTATTTACACAATATTGTTTTCCCATTACACGATTGTGTAAGTCTTCGAGTCATTAGCTGTGGTTGCCTACTCTCATAAATGCTATATGTTTACCCGAGATGAAGTTAAGCAGACGAAATCTTGGCGACTTTCAGACGATTAATGGAGATAATCGAAGATCCGAAGAACACGATTTGACTTGTTGCTTTTGTTTAGTAAGTAAGATTTGTAGTTTAGACTTTAACTTACTGCTTTTAATTCGTTTTTAGCCATGCATGTTGAAAAACTCTAGATTTCAGTGACTAGACTTTTCTTGCAAGTAGTCATTACTAGGCTTGATGTTTTAGTTGTGATTCTTACTAGTTCATATGTTATGTTCTTAATAAGTTGTTTGGTTTTTATACGGTTTAGCCACTAAAATAAAGCTATAATCATTCTAGTTAATCGATTATTAAAATTCATAATTCTTTTCATTAAATTGTAATAAGTAGTAAATATTATTTTCAATGTTCAAGGAATTATTTATAATAATATAAACTAATTGAACAACTTTTTATGTTTTCTGAACATGTAAGAAGTATTGAACTTACTAGGAATTTTACACTATTCTTAATGCAACGTTTCTAATTTAATTAAGAATTTATTTATAAGTTAGTAAAAAGTTAGGTTTAACTCAAAGATCTTGGTTTAGTTAAATGATTTGGTAAAAGATAAATGTTAGAACTTGTTAGTGATTTTTAGTATTAGTTTAGGCAGAATGCAATGTAAATAATCAAGCTGAAGCTTATTCACATGATTAGGATAATAGGGTGAACATGGGTTGGTATGAACCTAAAATCGAACCCAAGCCGATATTATTGGTTTTCAAATATTTAAAACCAAACCCTACATCCAAACTGATGGGTTTGGTTTCGTGGTTTTTTGGTTTTCAAGGTTTGGTTTTGGGTTTACCTAAACCCATTTCCCACTTAACTTGATAATAATTGAGAACTTGGTGTTACCTTATATAAGAGATGAAGAAGGGCATATGTTTCATGTGAGATCCGACATGGAACAAGTTTGAGAGTTAAAGAAACAACTAATAAAACGCTCCAAGTGCAAGGCAAGATTCTTACTTAGGATGTGTGGTTTATCTTACATACTCCTAAGTATACGAGATATTGCAAGTAATATAGTCGTAAGACCAGATCTCGGACCTTGCAAAAGTGACTGGGATCTTGCAAAAGTGACTAATCTGATTAACCTAAGAAAACTAAATTTTCAAAACTAAACTAAAAGAAAATTCAGCAAAGCTAAAACGATAACCAAATTCACTCCAATTTTCATCAAATTAAAATTCGTAACAACAAGCAAAAAAAAGTTAGCGTAATATTTCAGTTCAACTTCTAAACAGAAAAAATTACTTGAAAGATGGAAATAAAAAGCAACTAAATATAGCAAAAGATAATAATAAACTAAAATAATATACACATAAAAAGAAAAAGAATACAAAAAAAATGTTTTGTGTTACGCGCGTAAAAGGACCTATGGTCGTTGACTCGTTGTCCTTCTTCCTCCTTGTGTAACTCTCTCTTTTCTTGTTTCTTTATTTTTTTAGTTACAAGATGATGATATGTTTGATGATGGCCAAATGAGTTATTAGTGATCAGTAATGAGGAGGTATAAAGGAATGTCAATTGGAATGATGAGAAACACTTTGGACAATAGGAGGTATACAGGAATGGCTATTGGAATGATGAGAAACACTTTGGACGTAGGTTTTTCATGAATGGTGTGACTTGATAACGGTTGTATAAAGGTATATGACTACTAGATAAATATCCATGCGTTACAAGAAATAAAATTATGTAGTTAAACTTTTGGTAATCGTATATTATTAAAAATATTTATATATTTTATATTATCTAAAAAATAATAATTATTATGCACTACAAGTTAATTTATGTTACAAATGATTAAAGTTGCTATTTTTGGATTTGCTATTGTTAAATGGATTTGTAGCAGTATAATTTTAGGAGTAAGTGATAGCGTACTTCTCGATATGTTTATTTCTTTTTTAAAAAATAATATAATGTTTCAATATGTAATTAATTTTTTTATTTAAATATAAATAAATAAAATACGTTGGTTTATGTGAAACTAGGCGAATGCCCGCGCGTTGTGTAGAAACACCTATATAGTTGAAGTCTTTACAATATATGTTTTCTGTTTTATATATAACAATAACATTGTTGTTAAATTTGATATAATAATTTTCATACTAAATTGATATAATATATTGATTATTTTGAATTATGATAATATATACATCTATTATAACTTCATAATCTCAATCGTTTGAATGCCTTCTACTCGCGAGTTACACATTAATAAAATTAAATATAATATATAGTTTAATATTGTTTATATTTGTTGTTATTTTTAATTAATTTTTTTAAAATTTATTTTTTAATGTTTTAATTTCTATCATTATAATTATTTAAAACATCAAATATTATTTTTTGATTTTAAAGGTAACATTATAATCATTTATATAGAGTTATTTTTAACTATTTGTATTGTACGTTATTTTAAACTACTTATTTGGAAACTTTTAACGATTATAAAAATACATTTAGGAAATATTTTAGTTAAATTAAGATTACAATTTAGTTTTTATTCATTTATCACTTTTAATTATTTACAAAATATTTTTTGGTTTTTTAGTGG